AGAGATAATATGACTGGTCTTTCACATTAGGAAATGATGTGTCACCCACATGAATGAGTGGCCTTATTAATGGAGGTTGGTTCCTTGACTAATTACAGTAGTAAGAGCCACTGTGTAATTCTTTAAAAAGTCCATCTGAACAGGGTATCTCTTTTCAAGTGGTTTTATTGGGTGGACTTCCTCTTCAAGCCTTCTTCTGAAACATTGGTTTTATAAAGGCAAATAATAGGAACCTGGTTCTTAAAGCAGGCATTTGATTCTTTTTATTTTTGCAGTATTTCTGTCCATGTTTCATCCAGATGTTCTGAATTTTGCTTGATAGTTCTACTTCCTCCACACAAACCCCATTCACATCTGCTGTACTTCTGAACCTGTTGCAAATTATTACCAGGTTCTAGCGAGCTGTGCCGTCTGATCTGTGGGCCCGTTGCAGGGGCCTTTGCCCTTCCAAAATGCGTGGAGACGGAAGGAACTTGTAAAAGCATCCAGAAAGCCAGCATGCTGCAAATGGTTAGAAGCAGGTGATGGGGAAACCTTTGGCCCTCCAGATGTTGCTAAACTACAGTTCGCATCAGCTCTGGCCAGTGGCTGTGCATGCTTTATTTTTTTTTTATTGCACCAGCAGGCCTGTGAAACAACAGTGGCTTTAGTCAGCAAAGGAAACTAGGAGGAGAAAACTGCTTTATGGTTTAGTTATACAGTGGTAGGTAAAGGTAAAGGTACCCCTGCCCATACGGGCCAGTCTTGACAGACTCTAGGGTTGTGCGCCCATCTCACTCAAGAGGCCGGGAGCCAGCGCTGTCCGCAGACACTTCTGGGTCACGTGGCCAGCGTGACAAAGCTGCATCTGGCGAGCCAGCGCAGCACACGGAACGCCGTTTGCCTTCCCGCTAGTAAGCGGTCCCTATTTATCTACTTGCACCCGGGGGTGCTTTCGAACTGCTAGGTTGGCAGGCGCTGGGACCGAGCGACAGGAGCGCACCCCGCCGTGGGGATTCGAACCACCGACCTTTCGATCGGCAAGTCCTAGGCGCTGAGGCTTTAACCCACAGCGCCACCCGCGTCCCTTATACAGTGGTACCACGGGTTAAGTACTTAATTCATTCCGGAGGTCCGTACTTAACCTGAAACTGTTCTTAACCTGAAGCACCACTTTAGCTAATGGGGCCTCCTGTTGCTGCCGGAGCACGATTTCTGTTCTCATCCTGAAGCAAAGTTCTTAACCTGAAGCACTATTTCTGGGTTAGTGGAGTCTGTAACCTGAAGCGTATGTAACCTGAAGTGTATGTAACCCGAGGTACCACTGTATATTTAAGGAGACTTGTATCAGGAACCTGTAAGTGCAGTTTTAATTTCGAAACATCTATTTTAAAGCGGCGCCACTTTCATTCTGACTCTTTTGTGTGAGCCTAGGAATCCTAATGCTCTGCAAAAAAGAGTCACACCACTTCAGCTGGGCTCTTGGAGCCACGAGGCTTTGTGGAAGCTTCAAAGCCGCATTGCAAAGAGAATACCTGATCTCTGGGCATTTGCCCTGAAGAACAAGCTTCTGAACTGCGTTTGAAAAGGCAGAATCCTTTTGTATGCTGTCAGACGCCTGCAATCTTTTTGAGGACCGTTTTAGCCAAGCTGCAAAGGTGCAAGAGGTCTTTGATGAGAATGAGCACGTCCAGTAGCGTCTGTAGGCGGGTTCGCACAAGTATTGATCTCCCTTGTCACTCAGCTGCTTAGCACTTGGGGCTTGATGCACATGCTCATTGTTTGGCAGTGGCGCCGTGTGTGAATGAGCTGTCGTGGATCTTATGCATCAGCTCAATGGCAGCATTTTCACCCCCATCGGTGCTTGCACTCAATTGGCAGTTGTCAAGTGGATGAAAACTGGGTGATGGACAAGAATGTGTGAATGAGGTCTTGATGAATTTTGAACATGGTAGCTATCTCCATTAGGAAGTATCTCAAATAAACTGTGGGATACCCCCAAGGGGGTCATACGGTTCCTCCCAAAAAAGTGAATTGGATTTTACTTTTTTTTGCTATATTTAACTACTGTGTCTGGCAAAGGAGCTTAGGCTGAGAGATGGTGATTTGCCAGAATCCACCCACCGAGCTGCTTGGTTCAGTAGAAACCAGAACCTGAATTTCTCACGTCCTACTCACGTCCTGTTCACTGCAGAGCAGGGTCGATTGCACATTTCACGGCAGCCAGCTGGCCATGTTTTTGCCCTGGTGTTTCCTGTGGAGAGCACGCAGAGTGCAAAGGAGTGGCGCATGTTCCCCTAAATGCACATTAGGCGTGTTCAAAGGACACACTGGTAAGTGTGTGTCTGCCTTGCCCTTACTGCAAAGTATTTGGAGATACATAGCTCCTCTCTGTAAACCATGTGCAGGATCCAAACAGAAGCGTAAAAGCAAGTGTGCCTGGTGGTGCAAAGTGTGGATTGGCTGCAAAGATGTTGTTTAAACACCTGGTAGAAGCCCAGATGGGACGCGGGTGGCACTGTAGGTTAAACCACAGAGCCCAGGACTTGCTGATCAGAAGGTCGGTGGTTCGAATCCCCGTGACGGGGTGAGCTCCCATTGCTCGGTCCCTGCTCCTGCCAACCTAGCAGTTCGAAAGCACGTCAAAGTGCAAGTAGATAAGTAGGTACCACTTCGGCGGGAAGGTAAATGGCGTTTCTGTGCACTGCTCTGGTTCGACAGAAGCAGCTTAGTCATGCTGGCCACATGACCCAGAAGCTGTCTGTGGACAAACGCCGGCTCCCTTGGCCAGTAAAGCGAGATGAGCGCTGCAACCCCAGAGTCGGTCATGACTGGACCTAATGGTCAGGGGTCCCTTTACCTTTACCATTAGAAGTCCAAATGCCCCTTCATTTTTCTTTTAAAGCAGGCTTGGCCAACACGAATCTCTGCTGAAAGACCAGCAACTTTAACGGCCTTGTTTTCTTGACAGCTTTTGATTCCAGCTGGTCATTGTAAGACTTCTGTTAATGAAAAAAACGGTCCCCAAGCTTGCTTTCTTCCTCTTCCCTCCCACTCCCTTTTCCTTTGGTGTTGTGACTTCTGGCCCTGGTCCTTGGGTTTACAATCAGTCTTATAGGTGGCGTTTGTAACCTATTCTGCCCCTCTCCTTTTTTGTGCTGAAGCGAAGGATGAAAAAGTTGTTTTATATTTATTCGATTTATATACTGCCCTTTATTGAAAGATCTCAGGGTGGTGTACAACATTAGAAACACGTTGCAAAACATCACTGACAAAAAATAAATAAAAAGCACACTGACAGGCAGCCTAACAGTAAAATAATCAACAATCTATTAGTGATATAAATCAATTAGTACGTATCAATTATATATTATAAATCAGTTACTCATCTAGGGACCGATGTAGGCTCAGTGGCCAGGAATTAATCTTTTGCAAGCTCAGGGAACCTCTTGCCTGCAGGCTGAATGTGGCTATTCCGTTCTATTCCTCCAGTGTTCAGGATTCTTCCCTTCCTTGGCTCAACTTGGTGCCTCCGGTGACTACTTTTGTCTGGCTGGAATGTGTCCTTGAACAAAGGATGGAAATATGTTTAAACCTCTGACCTTTGCACAGCTGGGTTGTAACTGCTATACATAGGAAGGTCATAACCATTCCTTTGCTGTCCTTTAGACTCTGGCCTGGCTTGTCATGTCTCCCCACCCCACCCCCGGTGAGAAAAAGGTTGCTTATAAGGAAATGTGGCCTTTGGGCAGAAAAAGACGCGTGTTAAAAGCTCCACAATGCCAGTTGCTGGAAACCACAGCAGTGAAAGTGCCCCTGTGTTGGGTCTGGTTTGCAGTTTTTCCTGCAGGCAACTGGTTGGCCACAGGATGCTGGATTTAGGTGGGCCTTTGGCCTGATCCATTGGGACGCGGGTTGCGCTGTGGGTTAAGCCACAGAGCCTAGGACTTGCCAATCAGAAGGTCGGCGGTTCGAATCCCCGTTACGGGGTGAGCTCCCGTTGCTCGGTCCCTGCTCCTGCCAACCTAGCAGTTTGAAAGCACATCAAAGTGCAAGTACAGTGGTGACTCGCGAGACGAAATTAATCCATTCCGCGAGTCTCTTCGTCTTGCGGTTTTTTCGTCTTGCGAAGCACGGCTATTAGCGGCTTAGCGGCTATTAGCGGCTTAGCGGCTATTAACGGCTTAGCGGCTATTAACGGCTTAGCGGCTTTAAGAAAAAGGAAACAAACTCGCAAGAACTCGCAAGACGTTTCGTCTTGCGAAGCAAGCCCATAGAGAAATTCGTCTTGTGGAACGACTCAAAAACCGGAAAACCCTTTCGTCTAGCGAGTTTTTCATCTTGCGAGGCATTCGTCTTGTGGGGCACCACTGTAGATAGATAGGTACCACTCCGGCAGGGACGCGGGTGGCGCTGTGGGTAAAACCTCAGCGCCTAGGACTTGCCGATCGCATGGTTGGCGGTTCGAATCCCCGCGGTGGGGTGCGCTCCCGTTGCTCGGTCCCAACGCCTGCCAACCTAGCAGTTCGGAAGCACCCCCGGGTGCAAGTAGATAAATAGGGACCGCTTACTAGTGGGAAGGTAAACGGCGTTTCCGTGTGTGCTGCGCTGGCTCGCCAGAGCAGCTTTGTCACGCTGGCCACGTGACCCGGAAGTGTCTGCGGACAGTGCTGGCTCCCGGCTTCTAGAGTGAGATGAGCGCACAACCCTAGAGTCTGTCAAGACTGGCCTGTACGGGCAGGGGTACCTTTACCTTTACAGTTTTACCGCTCCGGCAGGAAGGTAAACGCCATTTCCATGCGCTGCTCTGGTTCACCAGAAGTGGCTTAGTCATGCTGGCCGCATGTACGTCGGCTCCCTCGGCCAATAAAGCAAGATGAGCACCACAACCCCAGAGTCGGCCACGACTGGATCTAATGGTCAAGGGTCACTTTACCTTTACCTTACCTTGGCCTGATCCAGCCAGGGGTATTAAGTTCTGAATGAAGCATTTCTCATTCTCCTGTTCTTTATATTTGCAGTCCGAGTGGGAAGAAATTCCGAAGCAAGCCCCAGTTGTCGAGATACTTGGGGAACACTGTTGACCTCAGCAGTTTTGACTTCAGGACAGGGAAGATGATGCCTAGTAAATTACAGAAGAACAAGCAGAGGTTAAGGAACGATTCGCTCAGTCAAAACAAGGTTTGTTCACAAGCACACTTTATAGATGCGTCAGTTCCATAAACTCTGACATCTCTCTCATATATATATATATATGTGTGTGTGTGTGTGTGTGTGTGTGTGTATATATATAAATGACGAGTGAGACCTCGTCGAAACGTCGCCTAGACACCCCAACTTTTACACGGGAAGACACCCGAGGACACCAATACCTGCATTCCTGTACCCGTGAAAATCTACGAAAGCATATATATATATATATATATATATATATATATATATATATATATATATATAATTTAAAGGAACAATGGTCTTTGTTTGTTCACACCTCCTATCAGCTTCTCCCTGACATCTTTGCATTTATCTTGATCAGTGATGGAGGCGTTTGCTTGGGTTTTCGGTTTTCACTTCATTTCATTTTTTTTTTGCAATGCTCCGGCAGTGACAAAATAAATAGAAGCAAGCCTGGAACATAACCCTTGAAAATAATTCCACAAAACTTCTGCGTGTATAATCAAAGGTACCAAATGTCGGTGCTTTCCATCTGTATGATGAACAACGATAAGGCTGACAAAACACTTCCAGGGAACATTTTGATGCGACAGGTGATGCCAAGAGATTACCTGGTGCATTTTCACAATGTTGTCAATGCTGTTCGTCATCAGGGGAGCAAAAGTAGGTTTTCTGGCAGGAAGGCTGTCTCTTGCCGGTGTGTGCATTAAAGAGCATTGCAGGGGCCAATCTTCAGACCAGGATTCCAGTAGTTAAGGGATCAATGATCTGTTACCACTCTCATCCTCCCTGCAAATGGCAGAAAGGCAATGGGCTGAATTCAAAATGGTTTGGCATTTCATTGACCCACTGGCACCTCCATTCTCTCTCTCCTCCCCAGATAATAATAATAATAATAATAATAATAATAATAATAATAATAATATTTAATTATACCCTGCCCTCCTCAGCCTAGACCGGGCTCAGGGTGGCTAACCCCCGATATAAACTAATTGATTGAAATACAACTTAAAAACAAGATTAAAAAACAACATTAAAACATTAAAATACAGCCTCATTTCAATGGAAACTCAAATCAAAAACTTTTTGGGGATGAAAATGTCAAGTCTTCACTGAAGCTAACTATCCAGACTGGTCCTACATGGGCCAGAAAAAAGCCAGAGGAGTCCCCAAATAGGAGTTCTATCACAGAAGGAGAAAGGAAAAAGGAAAGAGGGGAAGGGGATCAAGTTGATTCCAAGCCAAAGGCCAGGCGGAACAACTCTGTCTTACAGGCGCTGCAGAAAGAAATCAGATCCTGCAGGGCCCTGGTCTCATGAGACAGAGCGTTCCACCAAGCCGGAGCCAGTGTTGAAAAGGCCCTGGCTCTGGTTGAGGCTAATCTGACTTCCTTAGGGCCTGGGACCTCTAGGGTGTTGCTATTTATGGGCCTTAAGGTCCTCCGTGGGGCATACCGGGAGATCTTCTCCAGAGGCTCCCATCTCCCCCTGGGCCTGATTTAGAGCATGCACAAGAAAGGGTCTGCAGGGGAAAGGAGTGGGGTAGTTCTCCTCTTGTGCTAGCAGAACAGAAGTAGTAGATCGTTACATTTGCATGGTGGATCAGTGTTACTTGGCGCAGGAATCTTTTTTTGGTTGCTGATACAGGTCTGTCTCAGAGCAGGGCTTTCAGTGTGGCTGCCCCTGTTCTGAGGAACAGCATTCCTGTCGAGAAATCACTGGAGTGCCCTCGCTGCACCTACAAGGAAGCAAACAGAGAACAATCTTGTTCTGACAAGCTTTTCCAGCTGCGCAAAGAGGCCTCTGCCAACAGGTGTCCACTTTGTATTGTTTCAGGACACATCTGCCTTGCTTGCTCAGTTGGTAAGAGCATAAGACTCGTAATCTCAGGGTTCTGTGTTCAAGCCCCTTGTTGGGCAAAACATTCCTGCATTGCAGGGGTCCCTCTGACTCTGGGATTCTATGATCTTCTGTTTAGTTGTTGCTTTGTGACTGTTTTTCTTAGATTTTGTACAGTGGTGCCTCGCAAGACGAAATTAATTCGTTCCGCGAGTTTTGTCGTCTTGCGATTTTGTCGTCTTGTGAAGCACGGTGTCGGGAAAGTTTTGGAAATGCTTCAAAAATCACCAAAGTCTTCAAAAACCTCAAAAAAGGCTACCACACCGCGTGCTATGAGTTGCTCCTCGAAGTCAAGTCGCAACTGTATTAACGGTTTTAAGAAAAAGGAAACAAACTTGCAAGACGTTTCCGTCTTGCGAAGCAAGCCCATAGGGATAATCGTCTTGCGAAGCAGCTCAAAAAACAAAAAACCCTTTCGTCTTGCGAGTTTTCCGTCTTGCGAGGCATTCGTCTTGCGAGGTACCACTGTATATCAATAATTGATTGATTGATAATAAATTAGGAATGGAGCCATTACTTCTCTCGTAAAAACATAAGAAGGGCTTGCTGGATTAGGCCAATGGCCCATCAAGTCCAGCATCCTGTTCTCACAGTGGCCAACCAGAGGCCTGTGGGAAACCTGCAAGCAGGATTCAAACACAAGACCACTCTCCCCTCCTGGGTTTTCCAGCAACTGGTATTCAGATGCATTTCTGCCCTTCACTGTGGAGACAGAGCATAGGCACCATGGCTGGCTAATTCTCTTTTAAACCCATCTAGCGTGGTGCCTGTTTAAGTGCTGTTCTGTCCTCTTTCCCCTTAGTGACCCTAGACCAGCCTTTCTCAGCCTGTGGGTCCCCAGATGTTGTTGAACTACAACTCCCATCACCCATAGCAAGGCCAGAGCTCAGGGCTGATGGGAGTTGTAGTGCAACAACATCTGGGGACCCACAGGTTGAGAACCGCTGCCCTAGACCATGGGTAGGCAAACTAAGGCCCGGGGGCTGGATCCGGCCCAATCGCCTTCTAAATCTGGCCTGTGGACGGTCCGAGAATCAGCGTTTTTTTACATGAGTAGAATGTGTGCTTTTATTTAAAATGCATCTCTGAGTTATTTGTGGGGCATAGGAATTTGTTCAATTTCCCCCCAAAATATAGTCCGGCCCCCCACAAGGTCTGAGAGACAGGGGACTGGCCCCCTGCTGAAAAAGTTTGCTGACCCCTGCCCTAGACAGTCAGGATCAAGTGCAGTGAACGCTATATATCCTGTCAGGTTCACTGAGGTCGAAGAAAGCAAAGTGAGGCAATGCTTTCCCGGATCAGTCACATGGGTGTTCCCTGCCAATTGGATCACTGATTGACCTCACAGGAAATCAGCATTCCAGACAGTTACAGCCCCCTTCCAATGTGATCCTGGAAAACCACTCCAGGAAGGGGATGCTTTTGGCTACTATAGAAAACGTTCTACGTATGTTCTTTCAGCTTGACTCCAGGTGAAAAACATCCTTGCATCAAAATGTCCCCACATAAAAACCTCCCTCTTCAGTAACCTTGCATGCAGGCAAGCAAAAGGCATTAGCACATGGGTAGGCAAACTAAGGCCCCCTGCTAAAAAAGTTTGCTGACCCCTGTGTTATCAGAATTCCAACCAGGCAGAAATCTCATGATGTGAAGCAGGGACCACAGAGGGTGTGTGGCTGTGGCTGTGATGTAGTGAGAGTCCCAAGGGCCAGGTAAAAAGGCTTGGAGGGCCACATTTGCCTCCACCCTTGCCATACATGCATAGGTAAGCTGGTGTATGAAATTTCCTCAAAGCGTATTTTATCATGGTGACTCTTTCTTTAAAAAACATTTGGTGTTCAGGAGAAAAATACGAGCAAGTTCTTGCATGTCCCGCCGTGATTACCAGCCATGTAATAACTTCTCTTGTTTCCCCGTTCTGCTTATCAGCTGTGCGATAACATGTGGTTTTTCTCCTGTCTTCGAATAGGGCAAACCAGATTTAAACACAACACTGCCAATCAGACAAACGGCGTCTATTTTTAAACAGCCGGTCACCAAAGTTACCAACCATCCTAGCAACAAAGTGAAGTCCGATCCACAGAGAGTGATTGAACAGCCCAGACAGGTAACTGGGGGCGATGGGTGGTTTGGGGCTGATACGGCCCAGAAGGACAGCAATTGGAAACTATTTTGTCACAGAGGAAATGACGTGAAATACTGGGACACCTGCCAATTGGCAGTTGTGGTCAAATATCCACCACTGTATTCCATTTTTTATTACAGAAATACAAAATCGACACTCGCTAAATATCAACATGATGCTTAATGTGCAAGATGCTTCGCATTAATACTTTTTTATATAATTTAGACAGAGAAAAATGTAATTTGTACGAAGGAAAAACAATGCCAAATTATTTAAATGACTGGCTCATTTTAAATGTGTAACAAACAAGGCTAACAAAGTGTTCCAACAACTGAACGAAAGAAATAAGAAAGTTATGAAAGCTAATTTATTTTTATTTATTGCATTTATGACTCACCTTTCCTCCAGGAAGAGCTCAAGGCTACGTGATCCCACCCTCACAATAGCCTTGTGAGGCTGACAGATGGTGACTAACCCAAGGTCACCCAGTGAGCTTCATGACTGAGTAAGGATTCGAAGCCGCCTCTCCCTTTTTCTAGTCTGATACTCTAACCACTACACCTCTGCATCTTGTATTCTGGGGCACCGTAAAGAGCTTCCCCTCAGAACTGTTTTTATTCAGAAGTTCCACTGGTATTGCTGGGGCTTGAACTTCCCGTTCGGATTGCAGCCTTAGGACCAGGTCACGGTTTCTTTGTACGTGTGTGAGGATATTGACATTTCACATATCCTGCGAGCCCATACTCTTGGTTCACCGGGAGCTTTTTTGGGGGGGTGAGTCAAAGGCTTTTCCTGGATGTCTGTCCTTTTGATCTTCCTGGATGATTAAAGGTAAAGGTACCCCTGCCCGTACGGGCCAGTCATGTCTGACTCTAGGGTTGGGCGCCCATCTCACTTAAGAGGCCGGGGGCCAGCGCTGTCCGGAGACACTTCCGGGTCACGTGGCCAGCGTGATGAAGCTGCTCTAGCGAGCCAGCACCAATGCAGCACATGGAAACGCCGTTTATCTTCCCGCTATAAAGCGGTACCTATTTATCTACTTGCACTTAGGGGTGCTTTCGAACTGCTAGGTGGGCAGGAGCTGGGACCGAAAGACAGGAGCTCACCCCGCCGCGGGGATTCAAACCGCCGACCATGCGATCGGCAAGCCCTAGGCACTGAGGTTTTACCCACAGCGCCACCTGCGTCCCTAATCCTGGATGATTAGGTCCTCCTAAAATAGGTTAACCCTTCGAGATGACTTTGGAGGCCTGTGGGAGAAACTCTTTCAGTTCTCCAGCAGAAGTCATGATCTGGTCTGTTAGAAAGGATATGTGGGTAATATTGGTTCTGTTGTGGGCCTGGCTGTTACCTTGTATATTTCCACAGTGAGAGCTGTTGTTCAACAGCGGAACGGACTCCCTTGGGAACTGGTGGATTCTCCTTCCATGGAGGTTTTTAAGCAGAGGTTGAATGACCATCTGCCATGGATCCTTTAGTTGAGATGCCTGCCTTTCAGGGAGTTGGACTAGGTGACCCTTGGGGTAACTTCCAACTCAGGCATAGGCAAATTCGGCTCTCCAGATGTTTTGGGACCATAGTTCCCATCATCCCTGACCACTGGTCCTGTTAGCTAGGGATCATGGGAGTTGTAGTCCCAAAACAGCTGGAGGGCTGAGTGTGCCTATGCCTGTTCCAACTCTTCCAGTTCTATTGTTTCTTTCCAAGAAAACGGGTATACACAGTGATTGTACGACTTGTGTACACAAATGGATGAGCTGTACGGCAAAATCTCAAGACAGTGGTCTTCCCTGTCACCCTGATAACTGACCCTTTTTACTGGAGGTGCTATGAACTGAATCTGGGACTTTTGGTATGCAAAGCAAATGATGATGATGATGAAAACCGCCCATCTGACTAGGTTACCCAGCCATTCTGGGTGGCTTCCAAAATTAACCGTAGTTTTTTGTGTATAAAATGATTTTTTATTAGTATAAAATAATGTTAATAATTGGGGGTTGTCTTATACATGGATAGTGCAGGGGGACACACGGGCGATTGGTTGCAGCTGCGAGCAGGATATTGTCAGCTGCGATTGGGCGGGTGATTGGTGGCTGTGGCAAGGGCTGCTGCCGATTGCCTACTTCGGTGTCAACTGGGCGTGTGACTGGTAGCTGCCGCAGCGGCAATTGGGCTGGTGATTGGCGGCTGCTGGGGGCGAGTGGGCAGACGATTGGTGGTTTTGGCGACGTGTGTGATTGTCAGCATTAGCTAGGCGGGTGAACGGTTATTTCGGCAGTCCCCCCCCCCAAAAAAAGCTCAACAACTCTTGGTGACATCCCCCCCAAACTCAATAACTCTGGGCTTTCTTCCCCCACTTTCTTAATTTGGAGTCCCCCAAAATAGGGGTCGCCTTATTCACGGGGGGCGTGTTATACATAGAAAAATACGGTAAACACAGCAAGACATCAGGACTGCCTTTAGATAGATGCTCTGTCATTGAGCTCTAGCCATCTCCCCTTTTCTGGCAAGCCTCCTCTATTTATTTTTGTGCCTTATCTGGTCGCTGTCCTTTTATTTTAAGTAATAGTTTTAATAATAATAATAATAATAATAATAATAATAATAATACGGTGATGTAAATATTATTGTGTGGTATTTTATCTGACAATTCTGATATCATTTTTTTGCAAGCTGCATTGTAGATGGAAGGGTGAGGTGCAAATATTTTTCATAAATACCTACGTTAATGAGGATTTCTGATAAGTTTCCCACAGTGGTAATGCACAGCCTGGCAGCTGCCATATCTCAGATTAAGACCCTGCCACCTTCATTTGTGTGGGGAACTACTTCTTCTTTTTTGAATAAATTTAATTAGAGTTTATAAAGAGAGATACAAAAATTTCATACCAAGTATCTTTTCTCATCCAACCATAATCTAAATAAAATAAAAGCGTGGAGGAAAAGAAAAAGGATAGGAGAAAAGAAAAGAAGAGGGGAAAAGAAACGAGAGAAAACAAGAAGGAGGAGATAGAAAAGAACTTAAAAGAGAGAATAGAAAAGATAAAGTACAGAAATTAAAGAACTTCGGATTCTTCACCCGTCCACTGTATATAAACAACAACAGTCACTTCATTGGTGTGGAACGTCTGACCCATAGGCTGTTTTGGGTGAGCCACACCCTGGTGACAGAAAAAGGCGTCATATTCAAAAAGCACCTAATTCAAGTTACTGCAGCTGCACAGGAAGACCTGCATTTCTAAGCACACAGTTGATTGTTCCTTTGCAACTGCACCTTGAATTGGGAAAGCACTGACTTCAAGCCAGGGCTGCAAAGGAGAAAATGAGAGCACACTTAAGAGCGTGCTCCGGATTCTTCTTTCACAGCCACAGTTTGAAGTGTCAGTCACCAGGCATCCTATGACATCAGGCGAGGGACAGGTGGCTCACCCACCCCACCTGTCGAAAGTGGCCCACACAGGGTTAACTGCTCCTGGATCTGGCCCTAGTAGCGGAGATGGGGGAAGACCTCTCTGCCTGATGAGAGCTTAAAGAGTTGCTTCCGGCCAAAGTCGGGATGATTCATTTATAAGACAACTTCTCCCTCTGTATATATATTCATCATGTTGGAGACCATTCCATGCACAAAAGAATGAAGAGCATTTGGTGTGACTTCTCTTGAGTCCAGCAGCGTCCTCCAGACCCTACCTGCCATTTCCCAGAAGCTACAGACCAGTGCTCCCAGCGCAAGATCTCCAACGTGGATTTCTTAAGTGTTCTAGAACGGCAAAGGCATTGTTACTGTGCCAGCTCTGCAGAAAAGCTTGCGAAGAAGGCACTGACCTAAGGAGCAGCCTAAAAATGCTGAAATGGGAGCAGCTTTAGGCTTCAGGTTTTCTTTGTTGTACGAATGTGCTGAATAGGGAAGGGGCCCAGTTCAGACATTCAGACCTGCGTTAAAAGCTGTCCACATTAGCAGAGAGCCAGCCTTGAGTGTTTGCATGTTTGGAACCACTCAGACAATATCCTTGTGAGTACAGATGGTTTGTCTGATATAAATGAGACTTCCTATTTGTCTACGTAGCACCTCGTTTCATTTTGTGCGGTGCTGAGCTTATCACGAGGAGACTGTAGCTCAACCGCAGGCCGCATGCTTTGCATTCCAAGGTCCTGGTTTCTCAAGCCCCAGAACCTTCAGTAAAAACAGAACCGAAAATATCACATATTGTAGAAGCTGACTAAATACCAACTCCTTCAACAGTTCCTCATAAGGCCTGGTTTCCAAAACCTCGATCATCAACCCTTCCTCAAGCTTATTAGTAGCCTTTTTAAATTGTGATGCCCAGAACTGGACACAGTATTCCAGGTGTGGTCTGACCGAGGCAAAATAGGTTGGTACTATTACATCCTTTGATCTGGACACTATACTTCTGTTGATGCAGCCTAGAATAGCATTAGCTTTGTTTGCTGCTGCATCACACTGTTGACTCAGGGAAAGAACTCTGGGGAGCCACTGCTGTGAGCTGAAGGGGCAAGTAGTCTGTACGGCAGTGTTTCCCAACCTTGGGCCTCCAGCTGTTTTTGGACTACAACTCCCATCATCCCTAGCTAGCAAGACCAGTGGTCAGGGATGATGGGAATTGTAGTTCAAAAACAGCTGGAGGCCCAAGGTTGGGAAACACTGTTGTAAGGCACCTGGCAGGACCCAAGCCACCAGTAATTCACCTTGAGCGAGCTGGAGTTACCTCTTTCTTAGCAAAACAGGATCAGCACAGGAATTCCAGGCCTAATGAGCACAGCAACTCAGGTCTTGCCCCCATGAAGCAGTTGCCTAGACCAGGCACCCCCAAACTCGGCCCTCCAGATGTTTTGGGACTACAACTCCCATCATCCCTAGCTAACAGGACCAGTGGTCAGGGATGATGGGAACTGTAGTCCCAAAACATCTGGAGGGCCAAGTTTGGGGATGCCTGGTCTAGACTAAAGGTCCCTGCCTCCCTACAGCCAGCTATGTCTCCTCCTCTCCAGGATGTATCCCAAGCAATCTGAGATGAGATCGTGCCTCCATGCCTGCCTTTGCTCCTCCCTCTTCACACCTCTCCTGCCTCTTCACAAGCCTGACTCATCTCTGCCTCTTGGCCTCCTCCTCTCCTGCTTCAGCTTCTGCTTCCGATTCTGGACTTCTCTCTTACTAAGCCCTGTTATGTCTTCAGCTTCCACCATCCCATCCTTCCAATCTTCTCCCTCTGATCACTCATTGCCGTCCCACCACCAAACCCAGGGCTCTGAGCCTTCTTCCCCTTGGGGTTCCCCAGCTGGTTCCTCCCACCATTCCTCTGTGTCCAGTCTATGGCATCATCTCTATCTGTTTCCATCGCATGATAGATGTTGCTGCAGGCCTAGATGTCTGATACAGACAACTGATTTCTCCTCTTCCTCAACACCTCTGGCATTGCTTTTAAAAAGGCGGCATCTTGTTCACTGCTGCACCCAAAGTGTGGCATATTTTGCCCTGCAAGGCTTGGGTGACCCCCTCTCTTTAACCATCTTCCACCTGCTAGGAAAGTCATTTTTGTTCTGGAAGACATTTTGCCCTGTCAAGCAGAGACTGTTTTCCTCCCAGATTTGCTGTGCCTTTTCTGCCTCTTACTACGTTCCATGCATGTTCAATCTGTGTACACCATTGCTTGAACTGGTACACCCGGTTATTCAAGTGTGATATACGATGAGTGTATCATCTGTGTACCTGTGTTCACAATAGTTGAACTGTAGAAATCAACTCTTTTGTACAAACCCTTGTACATGTGCAGAGACAGCTTGTACCTGGGTTCAGTGTAATGTGCGAACACGCTTTGTATTTTCTTGATGATGTTGTCTTTATGATGATGTGGTTTTAATTGATCTAAGCTGATCTGAATACCCATATGCAGTAGACGGGTAGAGATAATTATATACCTGTATCCATATAAACACACAAGGTAAAGTAGCAAAGCCTGTTGATGATGGTCTGGTGAAGGAAAACAGGAATGAAATAATTGAGTTGTCTTGCAAAATGTGTAAATATGGACTGATGTTGGTCACTGCCACGATTGTCTTAAAAGTGATCTTAATTGGACAACCAAATATTAATGGCTTGTGTAGAGAGCACTGAAACAAAGCAATTATGTTGCGTACAAAACTCATCCATCACATTATCACTCTGACCAGGGTCTACAGGGATCACCAAACTTATCTGACATAATTGTAACCTAAATTGATTTTTTAAATCAGCTAAATAGGAACATTTTATATAGTCCTTACAGTAATCATGCCAATTGTATCATCTTAGTTCCCATTTAAGATAAATTAAGTAGATGTTTAAAAAATTGTACTGTCATTTTCACAATGAAAAATTACTTGGGGGTAATAAAAAATGATCCAATTATTAAGTAAGGAGTTGCAATTGAATACCTTGGTTTTCAGGAAAGGAGCACATTTCAAAATAATCTAATTAGGTGCCATATGTAAGATCTCCATTTGCATGATACATCCACTTGCTTAGGGTGGTATTCAGCTAAGTTTTACTCACAGTAGGCCCACTGAAATTAATGGCAATGTCTTAGACATGTTCATTAATTTCAGTGGGTCTCATGGTAAGCAGCAAGATTGGTAATTCAACTAAGTTTTACTCAAACTTAGTTCAACTACTACCCTTGCTGAATACTCTTATTTTTTCCATTTTGTTTTTCCTTCAACATGTACTCTTCCCTCCTCTCTCTCTCTCTCTCTCTCTCTCTCTCTCTCTCTCCATTAGCTCTGTGAAGCATATTAGACTGAGATATTAGTTAACTGGTCCAAGCTTACCCATGGCTGAGCATGGATTCGAATTTGAGTCTCCTTGGTCTACAGTCCTTGCAGATTTACCTGCATGCGCAAGTTCACAAGCACCTTACCGATTGACGCATTTTCAGGTGCTGAACTTAGTCACCCTGTGCCACAGGGCAAATTACACTTACACTAGGGCAGAATTTGCAACCGAGACGCCAAATCAAAGTTTAGCTGGTCCCAATGGGTGATTTCCAATGCAGATAGCACCTTTGGAACAGGACTCTTATTTAGGACAGCAGCAGGAGAGGAGAAGGTTAAATTCTTCCACCACACCTGCTATGCTCCTTGTAATTATCCATTGCTCTCCCTGCAGCTGGTGCTATCTGCATTTTTTAAAAACAGCAACAGCCCCCAACAAAGCTGCCTTCTGCATCACACGTAGTTTGGTCCTTGGGTGAGCATCCTTGAAAACTACCCCCTTTTAAGTTGACCATGCAGCCCTAGCATACTGAAAGCAATCAAGGGCTCAAGACGATTGTCCTTAACTGGAAAAAGTGTGTGTATGCTTAATTGTTGCTTAATTGTTTTTGCATCAGTTTAAAGTAAGCAAGTATAGCTGGTGCTCATCTGCATTGGAGCAATCAGGTGTTGGTTTGTCCTGTGCACAAGTCCCATTCAGGTGTGTGGGGAAGCAACTGTGTTATTGGGCAGCGACTGTTCATTTCGCAAGTCTTTGTGCAAGAGAACTTCCCAGAGGAGAGTTTCTCTTCAGTAGCAAAGCTCCGCAGGGAACTGGCACCCAGAATCTGCCCTGGAAGTAACCTTGAAAAAGAATAAAAACAAGGGATGTTTGCTTTAGTATCACCGCAAGCTGCTTTTGAGAGGTTGATTGCGTCTAAATAAATGGGGCATAAATATTTGAACTAAACCCGCAAATAAACAAAACGATTCCTTCTGCTTTTTCGTCAAGTTGGCAGCATGCAGAGGCTGTCTGTAAATCTTCCAGCGCTGTTGCAGAAGGGATTAAGTTTATGCCTATAAAATGAATATTCCATCTTGGTTCCCCCCTCCCCGCAGTGTTTTTGTTACTTTTCCATTTTAAATTAACCCGGCAAACTTTCAATCTTTTCAGCTTTTCTGGGAGAAGAGGCTGCAAGGCTTGAGCGCGTCAGATGTGAGCGAGCAGATCATAAAATCCATGGAGCTGCCAAAAGGCCTTCAAGGTACTCTTTGCATCAGCAGTGTTCTAAGAAATGGGTGGCTCTCAAGCTGGGGTGCAGAGGGACATTTTGTGCATGTGTGGATGCATCTGAAGGGGTGGGGAGTGTCAGGAGTTCAGCCTACACTTGAGTAGGACCCTGGCAGAGACACATGCCCGACTGGCATGTTCTCTCCCTCCTGGTCGATCGTTTGGGAGCTTCATAAGCTTTCTTCACCCCAAACATCACAGCGACAGATGCCAACTGACACTGGCGCACTTAGGGATCCGCAGAGTTTGCGCACCTTGCGTGACAGACCTCAGCAACTCAGCATTTTGGCTAATCTACTTTATTTACACATAAACACACACGGAGCACTGCAACATGGCTCCCTCTCTCTCTAGCATCAGACAAAACAAAGGACAACAGTCACACTTCATGGAACACAGTAACACAAACATCCTGTCTTCATCACTTCCCACTTTGTGGAGTCAAAACATACACCGTCATGTGATAGACAAAAATCCCATGACTGCAATCATGGAGCAGGAATTCTAACAGGGAGGGCCCACATGCTTGACTTTGCCCCCAGCTGTCCACATTGTAGCTTCACATCTTGGTACGCTGGTGGAAGTCTAAAGGGTGATAAGAACATAACAGCAGTGGCCCTGCTGGTTTAGACCAAAGCTTCATTTAGTCCAGATTCTCAGGTGCGCAGCAACGGCCAGGAGGAGGGGAGGAAGTCCTATTCTGTGAGCAAAAGCCTGGTTGGTGTGGGGAGAAATTCCCTTTGAGGGTTCATTACAGACAGAGGCTGTCACCAAATTCCCAGCTTGTCTATTTAGTACTGCATTACAGGACAGAGTCCAGAGAGTCTGCAAGAACTTCCCATTAGGAAACATGGTATATAGTAAAAGATAGTCACCTTAGGTATTTCCTCCTCTCCCCTACCATCTTCGGCCACCCCATTGCCTGTCAGGATGCTGTCAGTGGCTCCCGGCTGGTTGCCCAGGAACGTATAAAGACAAGGGAGAGTTTCTTACCGTCCTTTTTTATTTTAATCTTTACAGAGAGAGGCTATAGAACCCAGCCTCTTGGACAATGGCGTTGTCCCAAGTGAATCTCCACCGTCTCTCCCACTTCCTCATTCGCATTCTCACTGTCACTTCTACGGGTGCTGCTATGTGCCCTCTACCTTTGAGCTCTTTGCTCTCCTACTTTTAAGGCTTGCTGGGCTCTGGGAGACAGGGGGTCTGGAATACTTTCTAATGACAACATGTCAGCTGGGTGTTGTTCCGCCTGTTCCATGATTTCCCAGCTTTTCCTCTCATCTGCCTCTGAACTGCGACCTCCCACAAACCCCTGTTGTAAATCTATACTGCCTTCCTCTTCCTCCTCCCCGGAAGGGTCAGGATGGGGAGGCAGTCTCCACCATTCCTCCTCTGCCCAGTCCCTGAAATTGCCCCACCATCTTTTAGTCAACCATAGTCCTTGGAAATGGCATGTGTTAGAACCCTCCTTGTACCATATCTGGAGTTGCTTTGGCCATTAGGTTCCTCGGAAGCTGGTTCTTGCCAGTTTTGTGGTTAGGCTGCCATCTTGCCTCACAGATAATTGGTTGTCCAGAATTCCTAGAGTGTCAAGCTGAACCTACACTAAGCAGGAAGGTGAACTGAATGCATGGTGTGGGGTGAGACCCATGTGTGTGTGCCCCTGCATGCTTCATCTCCCTCTCATATGCTCTTTGGCTACCTGACTAGGCTCTGGGATGGGAGGTTTGGGATCCTTGCCACCGGATCCTGCCCGTTGAACTCTGCTCTGGTGAACCTTATTGATAAAGTGCTGTTTTTGCGTTCCAGGGGTTGGCCCGGGGAACAACGACGACACCCTCCTGTCTGCCGTCGCCAGCGCACTGCACACGAGTTCTGCCCCCATCACAGGGCAGCTCTCTGCCGCCGTTGAGAAGAACCCAGCTGTGTGGCTGAACACCTCCCAACCTCTCTGCAAAGCCTTCATCGTCACGGACGAGGACATTAGGTAAGTCCTTGCCCCCGCTGCCGTTCTAGGGCTTTTCCTCTCACTGCAACCAGCTGTGGTGATCACACAGGGTCCCCGGATGTTTCACCGTCTCTTGATCCCTGTGCCACCACTTTATTTCTCGCTGCCACCACCCAGGCTCTACCTGGTACAATACTGAGTCCAGTCAGGGTTAAATTGGAACATAAACTTCTGTTTATTTATTGCAGTTTAACAAGTGTGTGGTTTCATAAACGGTATCAGTCAATTACAATCGTGGGGTGCCTATCCAGACCTATAACGTCCGCCACCTGCTGTCACTCCACAGGCAAGCCTCAGAAAGGACAGGAAGAGAAAATGATATCAAGCAACTGCAAATAGAATAAAATAAATTCATGCATGCTCCCTTAATGTAATGGACTTGATGATATATAGAGGCAATTTCTGTAGCATGAGAGACTTTTGGTAACTAGAGGTGTAATGACTAGAAAACAATGTCTACAAAAAGTTAGTAAGAATGATGGTTTGAGCTGATCTGTTTTCTTTGAAGGGCCAGGTTTGCCTTCCCTTTGAGAGAAGTTGGAGGAAACCTTAAATCGGGTATTTAGTGTCACCAGACTCCATGCTGCAGACCACCCTTCCAGCAGAGATTTGGCAGGCACCCCCAAATGTCTCTTGACCTCTCTGTGCCGACAAGCCTATGCAGTGGTTTAAATTTTCTTGGGTAGCCAGTCGTTTTAATCATCACTCTGTATTGCTTTTGTTTTATTTTTTATGTTGTTGTACAGTAAAGATAAAGGGACCCCTGACCATTAGATCCATTCGTGACCGACTCTGGGGTTGCGGCGCTCATCTCGTTTTATTGGCCTAGGGAGCCGGCGTACAGCTTCCGGGTCATGTGGCCAGCATGACTAAGCTGCTTCTGGCAAACCATCCTTGCCTGCCCTCACTTTCCCCAGATTCCTGCATCCTTTCTGCCCATTGAGACTCATTCCTGTTGATGCTTAGAATGTTGCACCTGAGAGCAGGTTTGTTTCATGAGGCTGCTCTTTGTGCTTTGTGACTTAAGAAAAGGTGTGCCCTTTCTCTTTCCCGTCCTGTTAGACTCCAGGTTTTGAAGGGCGTGTTTGAAGCTTCTGCCACCTCAGCAGCAATGCAGCGTTCGCAGAGCTTTGTGTATTTCTGCTGACACAACAGCCCACGGCCGTCCCAGTTCATAAACAAGGAAGTAAATCAAATGGGGTCATGTTTGGCCTGTGCTGGGTGAAATATGAGAGTGGGCGCTTTCCCAATAAAAGTTTGCACCGTGGAGTCAGACTCGATTATGGCTGCTTCCCTTCTTTTTAATGAATCATAGAATCATAGAGTTGGAAGAGACCACAAGGGCCATCGAGTCCAACCCCCTGCCAAGCAGGAAACACCATCAGAGCACTCCTGACATATGGTTGTCAAGCCTCTGCTTAAAGACCTCCAAAGAAGGAGACTCCACCACACTCCTTGGCAGCAAATTCCACTGTCGAACAGCTCTTACTGTCAGGAAGTTCTTCCTAATGTTTAGGTGGAATCTTCTTTCTTGTAGTTTGGATCCATTGCTCCGTGTCCGCTTCCCTGGAGCAGCAGAAAACAACCTTTCTCCCTCCTCTATATGACATCCTTTTATATATTTGAACATAGCTATCATATCACCCCTTAACCTCCTCTTCTCCAGGCTAAACATGCCCAGCTCCCTTAGCTGTTCCTCATAAGGCATCGTTTCCAGGCCTTTGACCTGGAAACTCTATTTATGTGTGGCTTTTGAGCCTCACAGTGGCCCATTTCCAAATCTTTGTGTGAGGATGTGTCACTGGGGTGGGTCGTCCAAATTACATGGTTCCTTTCCACCCCCTTAAAAATACTGAGATAAAAGCTTTCAATAACTATTAAATGAGGCCACCTGCCCCATGGCTGAGGTAAAAGCACTGTGGGGGGGGCACACAGTTTCTTTGCTAAGGATGCTTAAGGAACCTCTGTATTTCCAAATTCCCATTTAACTTGACTTGCTCCTCACCTCCCGTATGTGGATTGAAATGCAGCTATTATGTGGAAGATAGTTCAAGAATGTCAAATGGTCCAAAATGCGGCCATCAGAGGCAGTCAGTGTTGATGATATCATTGCTGTAGCAGCTTCACTGGCTGACAGTGAGTTTCTGGGCCCAATTTAAAGTTCTTTTTTTTTAACCTTTAAAGCCTTAAATGGTTTGGACTGAAGTTGTTCCTTGGACTTGCTGCACCTGTATAATCCTGCCAGCAAAGAGCAGAGTGCGGTTTTGCTCAGGTCTTGCTTGTAGGCATCTGGTTGGCCATTGAGAGAGCATTGCCTTCTCCAGCTCCAGAAGGTAGGATTCGAACCAATGGCTTCAAGAAAGGAGATTCCAGCTAAGCATCAGGAAGAACTTTCTGACAGTAAGAGCTGTTCGGCCGTGGAACGAATTCCCTTGGGAGGTGGTGGACTCTCCTTCCTAGGAGGTTTCTAAGCAGAGGTTGGATGGTCATCTGCCATGGATGCTTTAGCTGAGATTCCTGCATTGCAGGGGGTTGGACTAGATGACCCTCAGGGTCCCTTCCAACTCTACAATTCTATGATTCTACGATGCTGGACTAGTCGGGCCTTTGGCATGATCCAGCAGGAGCTAAGCACCAGAGACTCTTCCTGCAGGTCCGCTTCATAGGTTGTTAAGATGGGTGGCCATGAGAAAGCGGTCGTTCTCCATGGCAGACTGCTAGCGTTGGAAATTCTCCTTTCAGCTCTTGGAAAATGAGGAGGACTTACACCAGGCTTTCTCCTGAAGTGCTTCCTTTTTGTGTGCAGGACTTATTTTTTAAAATACAGGGGATTTTTGAGAAATCCAGTCCTCTCCCCCCCGTGCAATATGAAGTGATACAGCCTGGGCCCACTTTTACTGCTGTGGTCCCTTGGTTCTAAAACTTAATCCGTTCCAAAACCAAAGCGTTCCAAAACCAAGGCACGCTTTCCCATAGAAAGTAATGCAAAATGGATTAATCCGTTCCAAACTTTTAAAAACAACCCCTAAAACAGCAATTTAACATGAATTTTACTATCTAACGAGACCATTGAGCCATAAAATGAAAGCAATAATCAATAAAATAAGACAGTATTGTAGATGATAAGAATTAAAATTAATTTTTTTTCTTACCTGCACTGATGATAGTCATTGTTTGGATGGGGGGCTTTTATCCATTTCCGCAGTCACACAGTCAATCAATCAGTAGCTAACTGGGTTCCACAGAGTCACAAAAACAAATTAACCGAAAAAGCCTCAAAAACAAATATGCAAAACAAATAGCAAAAACAAAAGGGCCAAGCTTAATCCGTTCTGGAGGTCTATTTAACTTCCGAAATCTTTGGAAACCAAGGCACAGCTTCTGATTGGTGCAGGCGCCCCAGAAACAATAGCTGACAGCCGCATCGGACGCTCAGCTTCTGAAAAATGTTCAAAACCCGGAACACTTACTTCCGGGTTTTGGGGTTTTGGGAACCAAGGCGTTTGAGTACCAAGGCGTTTGAGAAGCAAGGTACCACTGTATATGACCTGTGCTTGTGTTTGAATAATAGAATTGTAGAAATGTAAGGGAGCGCAAGGGTCAATTATGCCAATCCCTGTAATTGCAGGAGTGTTTTTGCCCAAAGCGGGACTTGAATCCACAACTCTAAGCTTAAGTGTCTCATGCTCTACCACTGAGCTATCCTGGCCAGTCCTAATGTACAACAATTTCGCAAAATTGCTCTTGCAACCTTTTGCTTTAGTAGACTTTGCTCACAAAGATTTTACCCAAATAGGCTAGAAGAGTTTGGTGAATTTTGAGCAGTCGTGGAAGCTCAGAGATGAACGCAGGTCCTTGATGTCGCAATCCCTCCCCCACTCCTTTATTTCTCCCTTTGAAAATTAGTTTTGTTCAATAGTCTCTAGCATCTTCTTAAAGTTTGGCACTAAGCGTTTTTTCGGCTTCACTGTGTCCCGAACGATGTAATGGAGGCATAAAAAGTTAACACAGCATGGGTTCCCCCCTCTATTATTTCTGCCGCCAGCAGGAGACGGCTAACACATAAAAAGAAATGTTCCAAAGGATTTCGGGGTGTTTTTTGTTTTGTTTTAGCAGTTGAAATCCCAGACTGCCTCCGGCAGAGGGCAATGTTGAACTACAGTTCTCTAATAGCAATGGAATCCTGATCTGTCAGAAAAAATAGTGTTTCCAAGGTTTGTTTGCTTTGAAAAGTCATATCTCTTGTTCCTTCTTTCCTTTTCCTCCACGTCACACTTGCATTAAAAATTTTTTTAATATTATGTTTGCACGGGCTACCTTTGATTCAGTTGCATATTCAGGGACTTTTGTTTCCAGAGTGCCTTCTCTGCAAATTAGCATAGGAAATCAAGCTGCACGTATTAATGGGAAAGTCATTTGCTTCAGGCCTGCAGTTCTTACTTAACTTGTGATGATGCGTTTTCACTTAAAGGTAGCTTCCTAAGTGCAAGTTGTTTTGGGTTTTTGTGACTGCTGAGTCCCTCTCTGGTGATATATATGCAGGACAGAGTTAAGCTTTGTAGAAGAAGAGGAAGAAGAGTTTGGATTTGATATCCCACCTTTCACTCCACTTAAGGAGTCTCAAAGCAGCTAACATTCTCCTTTCCCTTCCTCCCCCACAACAAACACTCTGTGAGGTGAGTGGGGCTGAGAGACTTCAAAGAAGTGTGACTGGCCCAAGGTCACCCAGCAGCTGCATGTGGAGGAGCGGAGACGCGAGCCCGGTTCACCAGATTACAAGTCTACCGCTCTTAACCACTACACCACACTGGCTTGTAAGCGCAAGATGTAATAACAGGGAAATATTTTGTGATATTTTCCCCAAAGGATCTGTCCTCCCATTCTCCTTTGACAGATTAATGTGCTTCGTTAATACAGTGGTACCTTGGGATGTGAATGGGATCTGTTCTGGAGCCCCGTTCATATCCTGAATGGAATGT